AAATGACCAAGGATTGGTAACAAGCAACACAATAATTCATCACTATGTTCTACAGCAAGAGATACATTAAAAACAAATATCTAATCCCTATCTGCTATCTGCATTCATTCCATTAAAACCAAATCATCATTCATTTATTCATTTGTATACAGACAGACAATTTACAGTATGATTTAAGCAAAATGCATAACATTTATATTTTCCCCAATATTCAAGCATAATCCTGCCGACTACGCCAAATGTTGTGGTCGTGACCTAAATATGAATATTAATCTCTTAATACATAATAATTAAGCAATACAGAACAACATTAATATTTTTATAATTCATGGTATTATGGTTGAATATGTAGATAGAAAATACACAAAACGTTGTAATATTAAATGTATATTTAATATAACTATAACAAATAAACAGATGCTAGCAGAATGTCAATTTACTACAATTATGATACAATACAAAACTACAACATATTACTTACAAGGCCCCAGCCTTTTGGCTGGGATTAAGTCAGAGCTGGTACTACATCTTAGGTTCAGTCAGTTACAGGCAAAGAGACAGAGTTTTCTCTTCCATCTGGTTTTATTCAGTGTAAGTAGGCTGGCCTGTGATGTCACTGCCAGAAGCACATGTCTTCCTACACACTCCCCCTAGTGGTGCCCCCAAAGCATTACACTAAATATGCTTTCTTTATGATGTAAAGTCATTAATTAATAAATACCATTACAGTTGGGGTGTGTGAGGTTGTCTGTGTCCATATTAAGTCGATGTTGCATCTAGTGTTTTCAAATTGTTGTCCGGGAATGCAGCCTACCTGGTCTGCGTGGATTAGGTTCGTTAAGTGTGGGGATAGTCTTTCCGCTAATATCTTGGCCAGTAGTTTAATGTCATGGTTGATCAGCGATATGGGTCTGTAGTGTTCAGGGTAAGTGGTGTCTTTCCCCGGTTTCGGTATTAGTACTATGGTTGAACCACTTTAGCAGGTGAGGTACCAGCTCTTCTCTATATGTTTTGTAATAACTGCCCTCGTAGCAGTCGGGACCCAGGGCCTTTCGTTCCTTAAGGCGGGAGATAGCTCTGTCTATTTTGTCCGCTGTGAATTTTTCACCCAGGGTCTCTATTGCTGAAGGGTTTAGTTTCGGGAGATCTATTTTGCTAAGGTGTTGCCTGATAGCCTCCCGCGTGTCTGGTGCGTTGTCAGCATCAGTGTGATTGTATAGGGATTTATAGAAGTCGGTGAAGATTTGAGCTATCTGTTGGTGCTGTTTTGGTCTGTCCTGTATGGTCCCTGATTGTTGTGATGTGTGTTTGTCTTGGTTGCGGGCGCAATGTGCGGGCCAGGAGTGTATGCATTTTGTTGACCTGTTCGTAGAATGTTCTCTTGGACCATGTCATAGCCTTCACGACATCGTCTAGCAGAGTCTCTCTAATGTGGCGTTGGGTAGTCTGTAGGGCTATGAGTCCATCGGATGTGGGGTTGGATTTGTGTCTCTGTTCTTGAGTGTGTAAGTCGCATAAGAAGGTTTTTAATTGTTGTGTTTTTAGTTTCTTTTTTCTGTTCGCTTCCCTGATGAGGGTACCTCTGATAACCATTTTGTGAGCGGCCCATATGGTCGTGGGAGTCAGGTCCTGTGTGGTGTTTAGTTGGAAGTATTCTACAATCTCTCTGCGTATAGTCTCTTTAATAACTGGGTCTTGCTGTAGGGAGGTGTTTAGTTTCCAGTTCCACGGGGTCGTGGTACAGAGGTTGTCAAGTTCTAAGCGGATGTCCGCATGGTCAGACCATGTGATGAATCCTACTGAGGACGTTGTGATCTTTTGGATGGCTTGGTTGTTTACTAAGAAGTAGTCGATACGTGAGTAGGAGTCGTGGGGTGCGGAGTAGAATGTGTAGTCTACTTCTCCTGGGTGTTGGGCCCTCCATACATCTATCAGACCCGTTGTGCAGATGAAGTCATGTATCAGTCTGTCTTGTGTCCCTCTGCCGTGTGAGCGTGGTAAGCCCCTTATGGTCCCTCTATCTGTGGCAGGGCATGGAGCATTTTTTTGTTTGTTTTTTATGTATAATTTTTTATTGTTAATATTTTATATATAATATTGGGATACAGAAGAGAGAAGTGGGAAAAAGGTAACAGTACATAGTTTAGTCTATAATTACACACTATTAAAAACAATATTATTCACATAACAGTATGCATTCATTCATGTAAGACAATTGATTACAACAATAGTTTTCTAATTCTTTTCCTTTCTCTTTTTTTTTTTAATAAATATTTATTTGCTTAAAGTTAAGAGAAACCACTGAAAACTATCACTTCCTCTCGATCCAAATCAGAAGAGTAATTTACGTTCTTATAAAGGATTGTATCAGGGAGGGGTGGGGAATGGGGGATAGAACAACAGCCTATTGAGATAAATGAGTCCCTTATAAGCCCAGCTCTCATTATAGTCTTTAAACGTTAAGAAAAGCATAAAGGGGAGAAAAATATAATAACACCTTAAACATATCTATCTCTTATTTCTAACCATTTATTCCACCTTTTTTTGTATAAAGTTTCCTGTCCTTTCAAACGACGAGCCTTCATTTCATAAGTACATGAGGAGTCTAGTCTTATCATTATCTCTGACAATAAAGGAGTCTGTATTTTTTTCCAGCTGTATGCAATAGCCATTTTAGTTGCTATCAAACTGTGAATAATAATATAAATAACCTCTTCTGGGAGCGGTATAGAAAACACATGTAATAAAAAAAACATTCGGGTTGGGTAGGTATCACTTCTTTCAAATCATTTTGAAAAAAACTTCCCAATTCTTTCCAGAGCTTAGCAATACCTGGACATAACCAAAAGATATGATATAGAGTGCCCTCCTGTTTGAGGCAGCACCAACATAAATGTGATGCCCCTGCGTATATATGAGCTATCCTAGTTGGCACCAGGTACCAACGCATATTCAATTTACAGTATGATGCGCAGTGTTGTAAATCACATGATGCCTTTTTGGTTAGCTTTATTGCCTGATGCCATTTGGATAAAGAAAATTGATCATCTAAATCTAAATCTAACTCCCATTTCTGCATATACAGTTGCAAGAAAAAGTATGTGAACCCTTTGGAATGATATGGATTTCTGCACAAATTGGTCATAAAATGTGATCTGATCATCATCTAAGTCACAACAATAGACAATCACAGTCTGCTTAAACTAATAACACACAAAGAATGAAATGTTGCCATGTTTTTATTGAACACACCATGTAAACATTCACAGTGCAGGTGGAAAAAGTATGTGAACCCCTAGACTAATGACATCTCCAAGAGCTAATTGGAGTGAGATGTCAGCCAACTGGAGTCCAATCAATGAGATGAGATTGGAGGTGTTGGTTACAGCTGCCCTGCCCTATAAAAAACACACACCAGTTCTGGGTTTGCTTTTCACAAGAAGCATTGCCTGATGTGAATGATGCCTCGCACAAAAGAGCTCTCAGAAGACCTACGATTAAGAATTGTTGACTTGCATAAAGCTGGAAAGGGTTATAAAAGTATCTCCAAAAGCCTTGCTGTTCATCAGTCCACGGTAAGACAAATTGTCTATAAATGGAGAAAGTTCAGCACTGCTGCTACTCTCCCTAGGAGTGGCCGTCCTGTAAAGATGACTGCAAGAGCACAGCGCAGACTGCTCAATGAGGTGAAGAAGAATCCTAGAGTGTCAGCTAAAGACTTACAAAAGTCACTGGCAAATGCTAACATCCCTGTTAGCGAATCTACAATAGGTAAAACACTAAACAAGAATGGATTTCCTGGGAGGATACCACAGAGGAAGCCACTGCTGTCCAAACAAAACATTGCTGCACGTTTACAGTTTGCACAAGAGCACCTGGATGTTCCACAGCAGTACTGGCAAAATATTCTGTGGACAGATGAAACCAAAGTTGAGTTGTTTGGAAGAAACACACAACACTATGTGTGGTGAAAAAAAGGCACAGCACACCAACATCAAAACCTCATCCCAACTGTGAAGTATGGTGGTGGGGGCATCATGGTTTGGGGCTGCTTTGCTGCGTCAGGGCCTGGACGGATTGCTATAATCGAAGGAAAAATGAATTCCCAAGTTTATCAAAACATTTTGCAGGAGAACTTAAAGCCATCTGTCTACCAGCTGAAGCTCAACAGAAGATGGGTGTTGCAACAGGACAATGACCCAAAGCATAGACGTAAATCAACAACAGAATGGCTTAAACAGAAGAAAATACGTCTTCTGAAGTGGCCCAGTCAGAGTCCTGACCTCAACCCAATTGAGATGCTGTGGCATGACCTCAAGAAAGCGATTCACACCAGACATCCCAAGAATATTGCTGAACTGAAACAGTTCTGTAAAGAGGAATGGTCAAGAATTACTCCTGACCATTGTGCACATCTGATCTGCAACTACAGGAAATGTTTGGTTGAAGTTATTGCTGCCAAAGGAGGTTCAACCAGTTATTAAGTCCAAGGGTTCACATACTTTTTCCACCTGCACTGTGAATGTTTACATGGTGTGTTCAATAAAAACATGGCAACATTTCATTCTTTGTGTGTTATTAGTTTAAGCAGACTGTGATTGTCTATTGTTGTGACTTAGATGATGATCAGATCGATGTGACGAGAGCAATCTCGCCACATTGCATTGGAGAAGCCTGGTTGCTCGCCTGTTGCCTTTGGATTATGGGCCCATGTTAAAAGGCTTGATTTTCCCCTGCAAAGACAAGAAAGCCGGGTTATTTGGTGCTTGCCCTGTTTGAGCAGTGATACCCCACATAGCTATGCCATGGAGCCCATTCGTATAATGAAAGACTATGGGAAAGACTTTGGCTCCATGGCAATTGACCTGTATGTGTGTGCTCTGAGCGCCATTCAGTAATATGTGCGCTCAGACCTAAGCTATCTGGGCATATGTTGCATGTCTGTATTTTATGTCATAAATGTAACCTTGTGTATTTTATTGTATTTTACTGTCTCTTTGCTGCCATGTGTTCAATGGAGTTTTGCCTCTGTCTTTGGAGATAATTGGATTACTTCACAATTATCTCCAGGATAGAAGACTCTGTGGAACTGGTTTTGGGCAGAAAAGCCATGCTTCCTGTGGTCACAAAGGATTACGATCTATCTTTTGAACCACTGGACCAATTTGTATGATTTTGAAGTATGTTTGTATTTGGAGTATGCTGATTCTGAAAATGTTTTATGTGAATGTGATGCATTCTTTTCAAGTTATGAATAATGTGGAAAATTTGTATTTCTCTGCTTGTGCTAAATTACATTACCCATTGTGTAAGGTAATTGAATCACATGCGGAGGGGAGGAATTTGTGTGGGAGTGTCTGAGTGTATTGTATGTGTTTATTGGTTGTGTTCCAAAACCCTGTGGGTGGTACTAATGTGTATATAAGAACAATAAACCCACAGCTCTGACTGTTCACTGCTTGACCCTCAACACGGAGCTTTGTCTCGTTCTTGGGGGATTTACTGTATGCTGTTCCAGTTTGACTGCTAGGAGTGTAAACCTATTCGTATGGTTTTTCCTATTCGGCTGTTTACAGCATTCATATGGTTTCCTGTTCGGCGGATTGGTGTTCTGCAGTAGCTGTGCCTGTATCTCTGGAAGGGGAAGATCTACTAAACTGCAGTTTAACCCTTTTATGCTGAGGGTGCCGTTACAATCACTTATTATGACCAATTTGTGCAGAAATCCATATCATTCCAAAGGGTTCACATACTTTTTCTTGCAACTGTATATAGGTTTTGCATCATTCCCTATATTCATAATGTTATTATAAGATAATGATAAAGTTTTAATAATCGGTAATTTACCCATACATTTGTATATCAAAGGCGGAAGTGTTTTAATTTCTTCTATTTTTATATTAAATCCATGAAGTATATTCCTAATACGTAGGTAGGAAAACAACTCTCTCGGAGGTATGGAATAATCTTCAAGTATTTCAGGGAATTGCTTAATGCCTATAGTATTATAAAAAAAACGAACCTGTGTGACACCATGATTTAAGTCTGATGTGAAGGCAATAATAATCTGTAGCGGGGCTGCATATAGCAAAACCTTATTATCTATAATTTTGGGGATAATTTGTTTCCAAATTTGAAGTAGTGTTTTGGTAACTGATAGCCTATCATTTTTCTTCCCTATTTTTATTTTACCTGTCCACAAGGCTTGTGGTAATGTGCCTTGATGCATGCAAGCGTTTTCTAATGCTAACCACAAAGGGGAAGGTATTCGTTCTAATACTGATATGCCTTGTGCTAATATTGAGGCTTTATTATACATTTTAACATTCGGAATACCAAGGCCACCTTTCTCATATGGAAGCCACAGTAAGTTCTGCTTTACTTGGGGAGGTTTCCTTTTCCAAATGTGTGCATTTATAAAAATTTGAAATTTACTTAATATTGTGTTTGGTATAGCAATTGGGAGAGTACGGAAGAGGTACAAAATATGTGGTAAAACCATCGTTTTTATAGTATGTATTTGTAATGGATCACCTGGCACCCCGACTGGATACCTCCGTTATTGGATGCTCCTAGCGCTTCCTGAGGGCTCCAAGCACTCCAGCCGACACCATAACCACCGTAGACTCCTTCAGAGAGCAAGACAGGAACAAGCTCTTACAAGAGCTTAGAAGTGATTATCCAAGGGAGCATGCAATCCCTTGTAGTGATATAGCCATACCCCCAATAAGAGACAGGACTCTAGATTAAGGGTGAAGAAGAACTCTGGTTTAATGACACACACTCTACTTTTATGCAATTCTCCCATGCAAGGGAGACGCCCACAGACAATTATGGATTACCCAATCACACACTGGTTACATCCCACACATCTCCTCCCCTTAGCCTGAGAGGTAACACAATCAGCCATACAGTTTAAAACATACTTTTTACCAAACTTTCATAACTTACATATTCGAACTCAGCACATTTCAAATACAAACATACCCAAAAATCATTTGAATCCGTTCAGCCGTTCGGGAGATAGATATAAGTCACTTTTGACCAACCCCAGGCACATTTTCATGCCCAAAACAGTTCCATGGATTTGGGCTGTGCGGTCGGTCTATTTTACACTGAGAAAATGACTAAATCTCATTCGAACGAGCGTTCGAATCTTCGAACGGGACTTAGTCTTCAGCCGCAGTGTCGAAGTAGAGCAGAAGGTACGGGTCAGCGGTGTTCGTGCAATTGGGTAGCCGAAAACAGTTCCATAGATTTGGCTGCACACACCGCTGACCGCGTTCGAATGAGTTAAAATGGCCGCCGCCACGTGTTTGGTTTTCGAATGGCGGCCACTTTGACGACTTCGGCACTTCGACTGCATCCGAAGTGTCAGTATAAAAGTACAAATTCTTTCTCTGGGAATTAGAGGCAGGGCAGGAGGCTGTCAAACAGGCCCCTCCAAAACCCAATGGCGAGGTCACTTTCGCCACAGTATTCGGCCCAGCCAAGATATACTTTTGGCTTCCCATTTTCTCAATTGTTGCTCTAATTTAATTATAAGTGGTATATGATTCTCTTTTATAATTAAATTATGTGAGGAAGGAAGTTTAATTCCTAAGTATGTTATTAACTTTTTCCGCCAGTCAAAAGGATGTGTATTTTGTAATGCGTGTACCACAGATGTGGGAAGACCAATAGACAATGCTTGAGATTTTTTGGAGTTATTTTTATAGTATGATATCTTTGTAGTGTCTTTAATAAAATTGGAATTGATAAATCTGGATTAGTTAAAAAAAGCAAAACATCATCCCCATAAAGAACTATTTTTGAGACACCCGTAGGGGTATTCAGTCACTGTATCCCTTTATGTTTTTTAACATGTATTATTAAGGGCTCCATACACAAAATAAAGATTAATGGTGAAAGAGGGCATCTCTGTCTGGAGCCATTAGTAATATAAAACAGACGGGAAAGAAAACCAGAATTGCTTATTTTCGCTGCTGGTCGAGAGTAAAGAACTAAAATACTTTGAAGAAATGCTAAAGGGAAACCCATGCTCAAAAATACTACTTCCATGTATTGCCAATGCAAGCGGTCAAACGCTTTTTCAGCGTCGAGTGCCAGCAATTGTCACGTATTCATCCGCTTATAGAAATGTGGTTAATGACATTTACTGTCCACACAGGAAAAGTTGTGCCGAGCAGCAACCTAATCCACAGAAGGTTTAATGCTGAGCAGTAATTGTGCAAATGAAACCTGGTCTCATGTATTCATCCGCTTAGAGAAAAGTGGTTAATGACATTTACTGTCCACACAGGAAAAGTTGTGCCGAGCAGCAACCTAATCCACAGAAGGGTTAATGCTGAGCAGCAATTATGCAAATGAACCTGGTAACTGACTTTGGGGTCAAAGGCCGGTTACAGCCTATCAGAACTAAAGGAGGGGTATTTAGGCCCAGTTCTCAGCCTGCTCAGTGCCCTGTCGTGGTTTCCCTTGTGGTTGTCTGAGAGCGCGTTCCTGTTTATAGTTTTCTACCTGGTTTTTGACTTTGGCTTTGTTTATTGACTTCTCTATATTCTGGTATCCTGACTCCTGGCTTTCCTCATCGCTGTGTCCCTTTCTGTGTTCCCTGACCTCGGCTAGTATTTTTGACTATTCTTTGTACGTTAAATCCGGCCATTCTAAGGACCGGTAATACGTTACTTATTTGTCATCCGTGCTGTACAGTTCTACGCGCTGGATCAAACAGTAATCCTGACAGCAATAAACCCTGTTGGTTACTAAGATGTGCCCAAGTAATTAAATTTAAACAGTGGCGTGTTGTCTCCTGGTTGTCTATTAGGGACGAATCCCACTTGTTCTGGTGAAACCAGATCCACTATTAACGGTTTTAGGCGTGCTGCCAGTAATTTAGCATATAAATTTGTATCTGAGTTTAATAATGAGATGGGTCTTAAATTTGCACATAGTGTTGATGATTTGCCTGGTTTTGGTATCGTAATTATATGGGCTACTAACATCTCTTCGGGTATTGTACCTCTTTTACTTCCCTGCTTGCCACTTAGGCTAAATACGCGAAGGGAGAGCATTGCAGTGAGCTGTATATCTGGAGAAGGTCTGGTATTACCAAACATACCTCAGCTGTTGTGATTTGAGCCAATCTCCAGGCTCTTTACCATGTGAGTTGGACATACATCTTCTTCCACTCCATTCACACCTTACAAGCATACTGCACTATGATATGTATTTTCTTGTTGTAGATTTTATTATGCTGTCTGCCCCTTAAAGTGATATATACGTTATTCCAATAGGGGTAAGAATTTGATATTTATCTCTCCACTGAGTGATCTTTTGGTGGTAGTACGATCCACTAAGTTCACTTTTTTCTTTCACATTGTACCTTAAAACTATATAATAATTATTTGAAAACCCATCTGGGCCCGGTGCCTTATGGTTAGGAAGTTTTCGAATTGCTTCTCTAACCTCCTCTTCTGAGAATTGTGCATTCAGGCATAATGCACGGAAGATTTACTTCTTTCAGATAATTTTTTATTTCTACTCTAGAGGTTTGATATGTCTTAATATCAGACTGTAGGTTATATAGCTTAGAGTAAAAAAACACTAACTCCTCGACTATATCCTGAGGGTTATATAATTTGACATTGTTGTTATCTGACATTGACATATAGGGTAATTTTGACTGTAAATACTTAGTTTTTAATTGATTCGCTAACATTCTTCCTGCTCTATTCCCTTGCCTATAATAAGATAGTTTTAATTTCCTTAGTTGCCATTCCATTTTCGATGCTGAGAGTGCCTGTATTTCCCTCTTAATTTTAATTATTTTTTTAGCTAAATGTTTTGTGGGGTTAATTTTATTGCTTGCTTCTGCTCCACAGAGATCAGCTATGAGTTGTTCTCTGATGTCTTTTTCTTAAGTATTGATCCGGCAACTTGCGATGTAAGCAGCCTCTACACTAATATTGGACATGAGAAAGGATGTGAGGCTGCTACATAATTTTTTTAAAAAATTTGAAGATTTACCTGATCCACAGATTAATTTTATTATAGAAGGAATAAATATGATTTTAAGGAACATTTTTTTCTGGTTTGAAGAGAAGTTTTATTTACAGACTAAAGGTACGGCCATGGGGACCAGATTTGACCCAAGTAATGCTAACTTATTCATGTCCCATTGGGAAAATTTGATTATAGATTCTAACGAGGAATTAGGGGCAAATCTGGT